GAAAGAATAAAGAAACAGACAGTTACCTGAAACTTAAGTTCTGAAGAAGAGCTTGATTGAGTAGGCGCCTAGTAAAAACAGTCGTCCTGGCAGGTCAAAAGTTGCAAAGTGTAAAAGCTCAAGTTCAGGGGTCCGAGAGTTCTCTTGAGAAAGTTTGCAAATGTGAACAAAAGACTTGGTCAACATGTCTTTATATAGGGCAAAGGAGAATGCGAAGAGTAGCCTCCAAATTCAAAAAACGAGCGGGAAAAATGCCCGGCCCGTCATAGGGCGACACCTGTAGCAGGCTGTCGCCTGTTACAGGCCGACACCTGTCACAGGTGACATGTGAACAGTCACATGCCACCTGTGAGGGGCATATGATTAGGGGATTTTTCCCTACCAATCACCATCTAACAAGTGGACCATTCAGGCTCTACCAAGTGTCCGCTACATGGGCCGATAGAAGCCTGCCACGTGTCAGGAGTTGATCTGTCCACCATGGACCAGTTGTGTCACGCCACGTGGCCTCCGTATGCCAAAAAGGCCAAACGGCCACCAAGGCCCAATTTCCAAGGGAAGCCCAGTCAGCCCTAGGTTAACCTAAACCTAGTATTTGGCACGTTTCTCAAAGTTATAAATACTCTAATTAATCCTCATTAAGGGGAATTAAGCAATTTAATTACTCTCACCTAGAGAACCTAAACACACTGATCACTCCTCCCCTATAGGAACCAGATCTCCCAACCTTCACTTTTTCGCATTTATTACTCCAAAAACAAGTACTAAATTGACCGTCGGAGGTGGAACTCCCACCACAAGGAGCCTCCGTTGTTTTGCAGGTACAGGCGCACGGATACCAGTCCCGGAATTGTAACTCTCCCGCAGGACATCAAAAAACCCCGAAACACAGAGCATACCTGATCCTTTTTGGTTGCAGCATGCAGAACCTTTTTCTTTTCTAAGTTGTCCTTCCTGATCTGGGCTGTAGATCTGGCAGGCGTCTTATCGGCTGAAACCATATTTATGGTCGTTTCTGCAAAAGACACCGTCTGTTAGATAACAAGATAAAGCAAGAAATCAAAAAATCATGCAAGCAATAGACACGGCATAAAAATGTCGGATGGTTGTCCTACGTACGTCTATCAAACATGGTACTCAGACCACAGGCGGACAAGAATGCCTCGTCCTTAAACCACTCAGGATGGGGTACCCAATTTTTGGGTACAATTATTTCTTTGCCGTCTGACAGGGGCATGGTGGTGACCCCGAAAAAATCCGGCTCTAGTATTTGGTCCCAACCTTCGCTTGGGACACGCTGCAGGGCACACTTTTATTCTAAAAGATCCGACTTCTTATTGTACCAACGAAGTTCATGATTCTCGCGCCGGCTAGGAAAGGAGACTAGGTAAAACTTGTTCCTCCAGTTGGTCCATTTTGACGGCTTATCAAGCATCATCAGATATTCCGGATGCGTGGTCAGAGTATACCACACCAGCTAGCCGCCTGGAGCACGGCTTAGATAATGCATATGAGCAAAGGCCTCCCAACCGGGCTTAATATTCTGCATCTCGTAGGCGGCAACATTGCCAAGGATGTTCACCCACGAGTTGGAGGTGAGTTGCCATACGCCTAAGTCGTACCCCCTCAAGATGGCCTTCACTGCATCGTGAAGGGGGAAGCGTAAGCCGGCCTTAAATGCCGCCTCATAGCAGCCGAAATAATTGTTGGCATTTTGTTGATCATCTTCCCAAGCAATTATGCCAGCCTCAGGCGGCACCCTAATCCCATAGTTTTCCCCTAGGGACGCTTGGCTATGAAGGTGGTTAGGCCCGTCTCCATGGTCGCTCTATTCCTGGTAAATACATGGACCCCAAATGGATCCGTCTGCTTAGGCCATGAGGACGCTTCATCCTCCTCGCTATTAGTATCCTCTTGTAGTGAGTTGTTGGATTCTTCAGAGCCCGACCCAGAGCCGGACTCTTCACCTTTTCTGTCTTCTGACTCCTCTAATATGGAGTCGCTTGGGGTGCTTGGTGCACCCGGAGGATGGTCATAGACCTCGTCAACCGGCACCTCCAAGGTACCATCTTCCCTATATTCTGGGTCAGGCGTCGTCTGTTTTGTTCGAGCCATAGTGTTCTGCACAAATACAGAAACGGTCGGATTCGGGGAAGAACAAGGGTCGTCCAAACACCCAGAGACGGCACCTTTAGTCCTAGACTCAGTCGTACCAAGAGACCGGCTGACTATTGTCCTAGGTTGTGACGTGTGTGTTGTTGGTGAAGCCATTTATTCAAAGCAATATGCACAAACGGTAAAAAGGATGAGAAAGAGTAGAGAGAGAGAGACGGTTACCTCAAGTATTTTTCTGAAAAAAGAAGATATGTGACAGGCGTTGACCGGCTGTATCAAACGGTAATGTCAAACGGTAATCAAAGTTTATCTCTCTAAAAATCTCTCTGCTTTCTCTCTCTAGACGTTTTGGAAAAATTTCAAAGTGAGGGGGGGTAAACTCTTATTTATAGAAGGGTAAATTCAGGGGCATCCCTGCAATTTCCCCAGAAGGTGAACAGTAAAAAACTGTTAACCAATGTCAAAGTGACAAGTGTCACAGGCGCCACGTGGCACGCCACGTCACCCCTGTGAGGGACAAATAATTTGGGTAAAAATACCTAGGCCACGTGGCCTAATTAGAAGGTGACACGTGTCATCCCAAGGCTGGTCCAAAAGGAGGCCAATCGACATTTGACACGTGGCATCCCCTATCATTAGGGAAACGACAGCCTTCAAAGGCCCAAATCCCGAGGCGCCGTAAAAACGGCGCAGCCCATTTACCTAGGTTGATAGCCTAGGAAGGGGGCACTGATTCCCAATGCCCTATAAATAGGGACATTTACCCCATTTTGGGGACACATTCATTTATTACATCACATCTCACAACAGAGAAATCACCTGATCTCGGGATCCGAGTAGATCTACTTTACTTTCCGCACTTCTATTCTCCTGCGACCCTTACTAACTTGATCGTCGGAGGCAAAACTTCGCACAACCGGAGCTTCCGTCTACTTGCAGGTACAGCCGAAGAGGAACCAGTCTTGGTGAAGAAACTCTCCCGCAGGATATCTTGCAAAAAACCCTGAAAAAAAAAACAATGAATTTTTCCATTTTTTAAAAGCTGGCAAAAAATTCCCCACCAAAAAAAAGTTCAGCAGTCCTCACTTTCTCTCTCTTATAACTTAATCCACATGCATTTAATTCTCTTAAACAACAATTTCAATTTTTTTGCCTAGAAGTCCGTGCTAAGCCTCAAAGTTGCACATAATATAGACGGAGGTAGTAAATGATTCGAAATTGGGACAAATTTGGATATGAATGTAAATTCTTATAATTCTCAAACTAAACATTTGGGCCAATTCTAGCATTTGAAGGGAAATGTAGTTTCCGTACAAGCCATAAAGGGATTTGAGGGTTTTCAAAGCATTTTTGTTACGAGTGATTGTAGGTTGAGGTCGGGTTATGGTTCAAGAGAGCTCTTAGAGAAACATAGATATTTAAGAAATTCAGAGTAATATTGTTGATTTGTCACTAAAGTCAAAGCAGCAAAAAAGTAAGGTGAAATTGGCATTGCCAACATTAACTGTGACTTTGGTGTTGTGTGTAGTATCGCCTTTAACTAGTTGTCAAAACAATACTTACTTTGGCAATGGGTGCAACGGATGTCATAAATGATATTGATAACCTTATACATAGGCATAGCCGATGTCACTTTGGCTACTAGAAATAGTCATTTATGAACCCATTTTAAAAGTTGGTGCTATTCTAACTATTAGATTTGGTGGTGTTACTCACTACACTCACACTATAGTTGGTGCTATTGAGTACAATTTTTGCCAAAATATAATGTAACCAATATTTTTCTTAATAAACAATAGGAGATACTAATATTGTAGATTAGCATGATAAAAGTAATAGGGAGGTTTTTTCGTTTCTCTCCAGGGTTTCTTCCTTGATAGAACCTCTATCGCTAGTTAAGTAGGTTTTTTTTGTTTTTTTTTTTTTTTTGTGTGTGTGTGTGTGTGTGTGAAAGTTTCCTTCACTCTTCTCCCTTTTCTCTCTCTCTTTTATCTCTTTTCTTCTTGGTCTTAGTTATGAATCTTTTTAGCGATTTTTATTGGTGTTCTTATCGGTGATAAACCCCAAAAACTTTTTAATTGTTTTCAATAGTTAGATCTCATCTTTGAGATGGTGTTATTTCTATTGTGTTTAATTTCTTTGTTTATTTGCCTAGCGACGATCGAAGACTAGGGTTTTAAAATAACTGCAAGTATCTAGAGGACCGCATGAGTATTTTCACTCAAACGACCATGCATAACTAGATTTCAAGCCGAATTAGTGCAAACTCACGCATTGTATTGCTTTAGATGAGGGTTTAGTTTTTTTTTTTATTATTAAGACGAATGCTTGTCGAATCTGCGATGTAATTAATTCTAAAGTGTTATAGGTGCTATGTATTTGTGTTGGTTTTATAGATTTCTTAGGATTGTTTATAAATGTCATTAGCTATCTTTTATTCATGAAATCATTTTCTTAATGTCTAAAAAAAAAAAAGAACATGATAAAGGTAAAAATAGTACTACCCTTTAGATTGGCTGGATAGTCAGGTTTTTTCATTTTGAATTGGAGATTTGTGTGCTAGAAGAGATTTGAAGTGTTGTATACCAATGAAAAATGAAATGGATCATACATTGTATACTTTTTTTTTTTTGGTTGGTAAAGGAGAAGGGCCTACCAAATTGGAATCTCACAGGTCTTTCCGACCCGGGTTAACGAGGTAGGCACTTTGGAAGTGGGGGGAAGGGTAAGGGAATCTCCACCCCCAAAGTGCCTTTAGTGAGGTTTGATCCCACAACCTCATGGTTGTGAGATGCAAAACTTACCACTAGATCAAGCTATGCTTGGTACATTGTATACTATATTACTATAGTATGACATTTATCTCTTTAAATTAGAATAACAAATACTCGTACATAGTGCATACTTTACCAAATGGATCAAAAAGTATTATGTGAAGTTTCCATGGCTCCATGCTCTTTCAATGAAGAATTTTTTTAACCTTGATTTTTTTTCTTCTTCCAAATTGTTGGGCTATCATTTTTAATTCTGACTGGAGGGAACTCATATCATACAAGCCCCTCTAACAAACTATTTCGTAAAAAGTTGCTAAAAATTGCCAAGTACAAGCTACAATGTAAACATTTACATCTGTAATATAGCCAGAAGGAATGATCAAGGCTGTATTAAGAAAATGACTACCATATTCGGACAGCTAAATGAAGCACATAAAGTTGCAAAGCCAAGCTAAGATCACGAAATTTTCTTCTAGTAAGCCCAAGAGCTTGAAATTTTCTCCACATTAACTACACAACCATCCATGTCAAATGGCGATAGCCAGCCCACTTAGCAGCAACACGAATTACAATGGCTAATGCGACACCCAACAAAGGAAATGGAACTTTTCCCCTGGAGGAAGTAACTTCAGCTACTTCATTTCCTTCTGCAAGATTTTTAGAATGGTAATGAATAGCCAATGCTGTAAAGGATATTATCGCTAAAACTCTAACCCATGGCTCACCAACAGAGGCCAATACAGTTGCTACAGGTAATGCAGAAGAAACATTATCCCTATTTTTAAATAATCGGGAAAAGCTGAAAAGACCAGCAAGCATCAACCAGAACACTGGTTCAATGATGAAACCTCTCACTGCCCCATAACCAATAATCCCAGCTGCAGTAAGAAGATAGGGTTGGCACTTTATTGAGTTTGGAGAAGCTACTTCTCCAATTGCAAGTACAATAGAAGCGAGCATAATGATTGAGGTTAATTCTGGTATTGGAGCAGATGTCGCTATGCTGGAGTAAAAGGAACGGACTGCATGAACTGCAGTCTCAAAAAAGAGAATTGTGTAGGAGATTGGGTCACCTATGAAATGGAATATGAGAGCCAAGACAAGTTTCGATAGGTATCCGATAAAATGGAAAATATTCGCTACGAGCTTTTTCCAATTGGAAAGTTCCCACAAGACTGATCTCCAAGTATAGATGAGAAATGCTAGCGCTGCATATATCATAAGCAAAGTCAGAAAAAAGCAAGAATTATTAGTTGCATTAACATGGAAAGATCCTCAGTAGATTAGTAAACAGAATGTATTTCCTCATAGTAAAACCCAATAAGGCCAGTACAGAAGAGGCAAGCTTCAAGGGCAAGGAACATTTCGTTCTAATAGTATGCATACTTGTAAGTTACTGCATACAACATATCATCAACCAGTAAAATACTGGGCATGGACACAAGTTGAGTAGCACCATAGAGTTCAATACAGCAAAGCTAATTCAGGTATGGCCGTATAGGACAATAAAGATCTTCCTATCATCATTTATGTCCATAGTAGCAGCCATGATGCCCTCACTACATTTCTTTCAATCTTAATTCCCTAGAAAGCTGGCCTACAAGTATCCAAAAAAATTCTCTACAAAATCAAGACGGCAACATCAGACACATATAAGTGGTCAGAAAATGCAGCACCTGCAAATTTAGAGGTTCAAATAAAGCACATTTAGTTATTCATCTTCATCATAATGAAGCAGTGGTGGATCCAGAAAAATATTTAACGAGGTCAAAATACATTTTATAAATTTTAATGGGGTCATTTGATTAAAAATATAAGCAATTTTTATAGGAAGAAAAATTTATAATTTAAGAATTTTGTTTTTTTTTTTTAAATATTCAAGTGGGGTTAAGGGACCCCACTTAATATGCATGCATCCGCCACTGTAATGAAGTACTCATTCTAGAAGATCTCATGCTTTTATATTTATCATGTACAATCCAAATACTCTGAGGCTCTTTGTACTCTTCAACCTCAAAATTCCTTAGTGCACTACAAATCAAACACCCACAATCTACTTTAGGCACTTTGTATACGTCCCACACACACACACAGTCCCACACACACACACACACACACACAACTCTAAGAAAATCTGATTTGAGTAGCCTAGCTAGTGTTTGTAAACAGCACCAACAAGTTTAGACTTTAAAGTCATTGCAAGACTGTAACTTTACTCTCTTGTATAGCTAGTATAGGATTTCTGGTATTTTCAAGAAGTGATGCCACATCTCATAGTAAGGGTTGAAAGGTACATAAATGTGATTTTTCCTTAAACAAAGAAGAAGCAATCAGTAGAAAGTTAAAATCAACAGGAGAGAAGATAGAAAAAAACTACTTATTCAGGAGAGAAGATAAATGTGGGGTTCGTGATTTCGTGATGAAAAACAACCCAACATTCCCTCCAACCTCCATTAATTTCATTTTCTTGGCCTACAATATTTTGTTTAGAAGAGGCAGGCAAGGAGGTGAAGGAGCACATAAAGAAGGCTAAAGAGGGACGACTCCTTAACTTTGAAGCTTACAAGCAAATTTCTCTTAAACACCTCCAAGGCTCCAACCAATTTTATTTTATTTATTTATTTATTTATTTTTATTCTTTTTGGGAGGAGACAGGAGGGAAGAGGTTGTTTTGGAAGGCAGTTCGGTTGCAAACTTAAATCAAGTTCCAAATACCCTAATTCCATTTCAATACACAAGAGAATTGAAAGAAGACTTCAAAACAACAAAGAGGGAAGGGGGGGGGGGGCGGGTGGTGTGTTCTTCCTTCCTCCACACTCATTATCATCTTTTCATTTTTAACGCCGCAATCATCCTAAAGAAGGACTAGCAAGGAACATATTTTTCCAGTATTTCTTTTCATTACCCTTCCCTAAAACATTCCCTAGAGTTAGTAACGACTAACGAGTAATAATGAAGCTTTAAGTAGAAACATCATCAACTGTCATGAGACTTCCTTAGCAAATTTCATATAAACTCTCGTTGCCATTACCATCAATCAAAACCGCCTACCAAACAAGCCATAAGAGTATGCATATAGAGATCCGATATTAAACAGTTATCGATTAACCATTTCATATAATCTCATTGCCATAACCACCCATCAAAAATGTCTACCAAACAAGCCGTAAGGGTATGCTACGCATACAGAAATTGGATATTAACGAGCTACCTATTTACCATTTCAAATTTAGTATATCTAAAACCCTGAATTTCTTCCTGTCCCATTTTTAACAGCCCTGTTACTAACACATTTTCCACTTAATTTTTATCACTCAATTTCAATTTCAATTTCCCAAATTTGTGAGTAAACTCAAAATCAAAATATCAGCAAACAAGAAATTAAGATAAGTTGAAAAAAAACAAAAACCCAATTACACTAATTCTTAAAAAGTAACACAAAATTTACAAAAACATGAAATCAAAAGAAAAGGAGGGAGAAAGATACCTACAAACCAAGGCCAACGAAGAGGGGGAGAAGGAACTTCCTTAGTCAAGTACCTAAATCTATCAGGCATTGTGCTTTTTCCCCTCAATTCTTCCAATTCTTCATCCTCAATTTCTTGCTCACTTCTCTTTCTCTCTCCTCCACCATTCTCAGCTCGAACGCAAAATCCCAATTTAGCCCCAGAAATGCGAAGCCCAAATCGTTGGGTGAACGAAGAATCTGGTGTAGAGGAGTTGAATTGAAGGGTTTGATTACTGCTGCTGCTGCTCCCATGCCTTAAAAATGTGGCACGGGCCATGAGTTTGGGAGTTGGGTGACAGTAGTTTCGCCATGAAAGCGGTGAACAGGTGCTAGAAATTGATATTGACATGGTTAAGACTTAAGAGGGTGATGCTCAAAAGTGGTTCACCATATTTGAGTTTGCAATGTTTTGGGCTTCGATATAGATTATTAGTGTACGGTTTTTATTTTTTATTTTTTTTATTTTTGAAGGAAATAGTGGAAAGGTAATTGGTCAACTCGGGTCGGGTCGGGTTGGGTCGGGTCATTTATTACATGTTGAGATCGATCTGTTCATGTTAGGTTGGGTCATATCCGGAAATATTGTTGAAAATCTTATTTAAATAAATATAATCACTATTGGAAACACTGATTGTCAAGTCGAATTCGATCAAGTTGGGTATGGATTAGGGAGGAACGATGATTTTTTAGTAGAGTTTGTGTCTTGAGTTGGGTAATCGATTATTGATCAGATTTGCCAAGTCTAGTGAAAGAGTGGGTTGTGCTCCATAAATACTTCTTAAATAAAGTAAGAAGCCTAAATACTAAAAGAAAATAAAAAGTAGATCAAGCAAAATATTAAGCTTTCACTGCTAGAATAGTTATTGCACCACTACCTCAGTCATATCAAACTTGGGGAATAAACGAATTCTAAACAATGCAATACCACGTTTAGCTAAACATACAACTGTTTGATAGCCTCTCTATTATAATGGCGAGTTGTAATCTCTTGATAATGATGGACCAGACACTTACACTTCTTGATAATGTGATCTGACTTTAAAGAGAGAAGGGGTTGATATCCTCCAAAAACAATAGGATTAATTAATAAATCTGAATGTACCATGAGTTGAACATTTCGATGATTCGAGTTCCAAGCCAAAGCAAAGTCCATGTGTCTGTCTTGGTACAAGCTAAGTTAAAAATATCACTATTTGATATTTCATGTACTTCTCCTATATGACCTCATACAATATCCTTAGCTATAGCACTCTGGAGTAGTTGCCTTTTGAAATCACATATGTGTTGAGTCAAATTCTCCCATTTCTAGCTAGGTTGTAACCATGTTAAATAAATCTCTTGAATAACTTACATAGCCTCTACATCACACTTTTCTCCCAATTCGATCATAATAAACTCAAGTATTTAATTGAATTGGGATATCGAAGCTACCAGTCTTTCAAGCATGCATAAGTTGTTTCACCAATTCTATATTACCAAAAAGTTGTGACGAAAATAATTGGTCAATCCTTTTCACAAATAACCTCATTATTTGCATTGATATTTTGCTCACCCATGTTTAAAAGACTTCCCAAATCATAATTCTTCATACATGCATAAGAATTATTCTCTTTAAGCTAGCTAGGGTAGCCACACGACAATGGCAAAAGAATCTAGCGTACATCTTCCTCTGTTGCACCACATAGTAAGTAATGACGAGGTTTCCAGTGAGATGTCTTGTGAATTAGACATTAGCTAGCCTAATCTACAAAAACAAGCTAAAGGAAAAATTTACAATGTTGTGAAACCAAAAATTTCAAACTTAATCACATATTTCAATCATTCTCATCTCTTGCTTCATCAAACCGAAATTTTCATAATTCCCATAAAAAAGGACTTGTTTTAAAATTTAAAAGTACTTTATCAGCCTCATCTTGGTCATCTTGCAACTCATATGAATCAATGTGTTGTAATGAATTTCCCAACATACAAGAAATTAGCAATGTTTACATATTGTACCCATGGTTGGGATTCCACATACCATGTACCATACAATACTGCTCATGGTGAAAACGATATTTCTTTACTATTTTCAATTGCCATATCCCTACACTTTAACAAATATTTGAAGCTTTATTCTTATGTTTGAACACATCTAGGTAACAATGACCACAATATTTACTTTAAAGGACACAATATTGACCAAAGAGTTTCTAATTTAGCAAGCACCTACTACTAGAGCTTTAATAGAAAAGATGCATTGACTGTCTCAATCCATTATCACTTTAAGCATAATTATATTTTTCCAAGACAAAAGATGCAGGTATATTATTGCGACTCTTCGTTCCCACCCATAAGAATTTTTTAGAGGTTTTATTCTATATCGTCACATGTCGGTGAGACAACTTCGTTCGTTGTTTGCATAGCATAGCCGCACAATATTGATGAATTTAAGGAAGATTGTACTCAAATTGCCCTTACTAAATCACTTTTGACTTCCAACCTAGCTACTAGTTTATCATTTATTTGCCCACCGAGTTTATATCGATATTCTTCCTCACCATTAATTGTTTGTACACCAAAATATGTCCTTGGATCATCCGTTTATTCCATTTGGAGTTTAGTACAAATACTACCACAAATATAACGAACCTTACTTAAATTCTTTAAAATGAACACACACTCTTGACTTTGACACACATGCTACACTACCTATGCCCTTACAATTGGCCTAAACATGCATGAAGCAATTATTGTTAGGAAAATTTATTAGAAAGATATTTTTATAATTACCTTTTTGTGAGAAAGGGCCCTATAAAAATAGTGGTACAAAAGGACCTTATAAGCCACTTTTGTTGTAAAGAGGAACCTTGTGGCCGGAAGGTGGGACTTGACCACCAGAGTCCAGCATTGATCGACATGTGATCTCCCATTATTAAAATTCTCGATTTTCGAATAAAAAATTTCTTGGTTAAAGTTTTTGGGGTCATTTTGATTCTTATGGTCCAATTTGAAGTTTAATTGGCAAAAATAGTAGTAGAAATGTTCTCATTTTACATGCCAACAATATCAGACAAACTGAACATAGCCTTAGATAAGATCTGGCTTTAGGCTAGTTATGGACGTATTCGAATTTGTATTAGCTTGTCATGCTTCGGGTCACAAATAACCAGGTGCAGTCAAGTTATACATTAATATCGAATCAAGTTGAGTTAGTTTCTGATTACCATTTTCTCATTTTAAAATTGACTAATTCAAGATCGGTTTTAACTTTTAACTCGATGACCCAAATGGGTCAACTTTTGACGGCTCTAAGTCTTATCAATGTAATTATGGCTCAATCTCTTCCTATTAGTTTTATTATTTATATTTTAAGGGTTATTAAAAAGTCAGTTTTAGAAAAATTGAAAACGGGGGCGAATGAATGCAAAGACATGACTACCGACGGCTAAGCTAAGCTATCAGAGTGCAACTAGCCGTATAGCTGCTATTTATTTGGGATACATATAGGAGGGCTAACTGGTATATTCACTTAAATTTTGTGATTTTTTATTGTTACAGTGGCATTTTTAATGTACTACTATATTGACATTGGTATTTTAAATGTACTATTATACATGTATTTTATACTACTAAAGTATAATTTATTTTAGTAGTATCATTTATAGCCATTACAGGTAACAGTTGATTAGGGGATTTTGCTCCCACCAATCACCATCTGACAAGTGGACCAATCAGGTTCCGCCATGTGTCCGTCACATGGGCCAATAGGAGTCTTCCACGTGTCAAGCAATGATCCGTCCACCTTGGACCAATTACGACACGACACGTGTCCTTCCCATGACACCTGGGATAACCGGTCACCTAGGCCCAACTTCCGAGGGAAGCCCAATCAGCCCAAGGTTAACCTAAACCTAGATTGGCACGTTTCCCGAGGTTATAAATACCTCCCTTAATCCTCATTAAGGGGGATTAAAGGCAGATCACGCGAACAACGCAGATTACACACATTAAACACTCTCACCTAGAGAGACCCAATCACTTTAATTTCCGCATTAATTACTCCTTAATCAAGTACTAACTTGACCGTTGGAGGCGGAGCTCCCACCACCAGGAGTCTTCGTTGTTTTGCAGGTACAGGCGTCCGGTTCCAGTCTCGGAATTGTAACTCTCCCGCAGGACATCAGAAAACCCCGAAACATTTGGCGCCGTCTGTGGGGAGAGTACTTCTGAGATGGCATCCAAGTCTGTACCGACTCCTAAAGAGAGTCGTCCCCTAGAAGACCCTCAAGTTCAGTCGGACCACGATACTGAGAATGAATTTGAAGTTGAAGCTCACACAGCTTCAGACGGGACCCTAAGGGCCCGACGTACCCGTCATATCGAAAGGAGGGAACGGGAACATCTTCATACAGGAAGCGAGCCAGCAGGCGCACCGCCTGTTCGGCAACAGCCGACTGATGGGTCTGCTCCCATCACAAGGAGTGAACTCATGACCTTCATGAGGGACTTCAAGGGAGAAATTCAAGAGTTGATCAACAAGAAGCCGCCTGCTCTGGACAAGGAGCAGTCGGCTAAGAAACCCTCCACTTCACAGAAGAGGAATCCAGTTGAAGGGCGAGAGGCGACTCCTCATCCTAAATCTAGGAAGCGGGAGCCACCTGCCCTTGATTTCACAAAATACCGTTTTCCTACTCCAGGAAATAGGAAACCTGTTCGTCATATTCAGGCGGACGGGTCGAGGAAATCATACACAGACGCTCGGCTACTGCTAGAGCAGAAGAAGAGCGACCGATTGTTAGAGTCGGCCTCTACTTCAAACTTCCAAGACAGTCTGCGAAATACCTCGATGAGGCATACTCAGTCGTATCATGAGAGTCAGTCAGGCGGCACCTCCCGTCAGTCCGGCTTTCATAGCGACCAGGCGGTACCAAACTTACCGTTTGTACCGCAACAACAGTATTTTTTACAGCCACCTCCATTTGGTGGACATGTAGCAAAAAATGTCCAACCTATGGACTGGCAGCTACGGTTGCTTAGACTTGGTGAATAGCCGTCGGCCTTCTCCAAGGAAATTACTGAAGCCGCTCAGCCGGCCAAAGTGAAAAATGTATTAGTAGGCGCCTATGACGGCACTACTAACCCAGAAGACCATCTGATGTCATTCACCAACCTGATGTACCTTCAAGGGTTGGATGATCCCACTTGGTGCAAGTGTTTCCCAGCGAATCTCAAAGGAATCGCACAACAATGGTTCGGCAACCTGCCGACTGGTTGTGTAAATAGCTTCAAGACGCTTGCTTACTTATTCACCTCCAACTTCGCCATGAACATCCCTGCGAAGAAGACAACCCTTGATTTAGGAACAATTCAGCAGGGCGAGAAGGAGGGTCTTCGTTCTTACATCAGGCGGTTTAACCTGATGAGAATACAGATTCAAGGGTTACCGGATGAAGTAGCCTATACTGACTTTTTCAGAGGTCTCAAAGACGGGTCGACCTTCAAATTTGATTTGGTCCGAAAGAGGGTGGCGACTCTTCAAGAGGCCTTGATTGAAGCAGAAGCCTATATACAGGCGACTGATCTTTGTAGTACGGTAAAACAGTCGGACGGGAAAAGGTCCGACAAAAGAGAAGGACGACAAAAGAAGTCGTCCAACAAAGACGAGAAGAGAAAAGAGGTCTGGGCGGCTGATTCCTCTAAACAGCCGGCCCAGAAAAAGAAAAAAGAATACAAACCATACTCCCCAAAGTATGCGTTTAACAAGGATAACCAGTTTATCCTAAA